AATCACTAGAGTCATACAATATTGGTCTTTTTGTGACTGGCTTATTTCATCTAGCATAATGTCCTCAGAGTTCATTCATTTGATAGCAAGTATCAGAATTACTCTCCTTTTTAAGGCTGAATGATATTTCCGTGTGTGTGTGTTTGTGTGTGTGTGTGTGTGTGTGTGTACATACATATACCACATTTTGTTTACCCGTTCATCCATCGGTGGACATTTGGGTTGTTGCTGGATGTGGTGGCTCACACCTGTAATTCCAGCCCTTTGGGAGGCTGAGGTGGGCGGATAGCTTGAGGTCAGAAGTTCGAGACCAGCCTGGGCAATGTAATAAGACCCTGTCTGTACCAAAAATTTAAAAAAAAAAAATTAGCTGAGCCTGGTGGCATGCACCTGTAGTCCCAGCTGTTTGGGAGGCTGAGGCGGGAGGATAGCTTGAGCTCAGGAGTTCAAGACCAGCCTGAGCAATATAATAAGACCCTGTCTGTACCAAAAATTAAAAAAAAAAAAAAAAATTAGCTGAGCCTGGTGGCATGCACCTGTAGTCCCAGCTGTTTGGGAGGCCGAGGTGGGAGGATAGCTTGAGCCTAGGAGTTCAAGGCTGCAGTGAGTTGTAATCACGTCACTGCACTGCAGCCTGAAAGACAGAGGGAAACCCTGTCTCAAAAAAAACGAAGTCATTTATGTTGGTTTCACCTTTTGGCTACTGTGAACATTGGCATACACGTATCAAGTTTTTGGCATACAAAAATTCAAGTTTCTGCTTTCAAATTGATAGTTGCTTTTTAATCGTTTTATACCAACCACCCTTAGTAGTGTTGATTTGACAATACTCTTATCATTCCTTGGAAACTTAATCAGTTTAGTTACCATTCTCGTTTTCTCATCTTTATGAGCAAATAAGGCAGAAAGAAGGGAAGCGAAATGTCCAACACCACTCATTTTTGTTAATGGTATTGATAAAATTGGCACGAGCCTTTCAGTAATTTGGATGCTATGATTGTTCTTTTTTGTTGTTAAATTTTTGTGTCCATTATGCATTTTGAGTCATAATAAAGTGGCATTTTTAAAAAAACCTGCCATATTTGTCTAGCATGTATGGCATTTTATGATTTTAAAGATATTTTTAAAGTTTGGTTAAAAACCTTAACAGTATATATAAAATGAAACACTGTGCTTTTACTGTGGAAATGTATCCTATATACCTTTATATAATAGTTATTTAAGATTTACATTTGGCTGGGCACAGTAGCTCATGCCTTTAATCCGAGTACTTTGGGAGGCTGAGGTATGCAGTTCACTTGTGCCCAGGAGTTTTCAAGACTAACCTGGGCAACACTGGGAAACCCTGTCTCTTCAAAAAATAAAAAAAATGTTAGCCAGGCATGGTGGTGTGCGCCTGTAATCCCAGCTCCTCAAGAGGCTGAGGTGGAAGGATTGCTTGAGCCTAGTTCAACGGAGGTTGCAGTGAGCCAAGATTGCGCCGCTGCACTCCAGCCTGGGTGAGAGTGAGACCCCTTCTCGAAAGAAAGAAAGAAAGAAAGAAAGAAAGAAAGAAAGAAAGATAGATAGATAGATAGATAGATAGATAGATAGATAGATAGATAGATAGATAGATAGATTGATTGATTTACATTTTAGAGAGTTAGTATATGTCTGTTATTTTTGAACTTTTGGGTTTCAGGGCTCCTTTATATTCATAAGAATTATTGAAGGTCCAAAGGAACTTTTGTTTTTGCGGTTATATGTTGATATTTACCATATTAGAAATTAAAACTGGCTGGGTGCAGTGGCTGACACCTGTAATCCCAGCTACTTCAGGAGGCTGAGCAGGGGTGGATCACTTGAACCTCGGAGTTTGAGACCAACCTGGCTACCATGGTGAAACCCTGTCTCTACACACAATACAAAAGTTAACTGGTTGTGGTGGTGTGCACCTGTGCTTCTAGCTACTGCTGATAAATTTAAAAATATTCCCTAATTTATTACAAAATGTAAACCCATTAAATGTTATAAGTTATATATTTTTATGAAGACAACTGCCTTTCCTAAAACTAAAACATTTAATAATAAGAGTGTATTGTTTTATATTTTGGCAGCAATATTTGATGTCTGGCTTACTTAAAGACGGCTAGGTTCTCATATTTGCTTCTACATTTAATCTGTTGCAATATGTCGTTTTTATTGAAGTATATGAAGAAAATTCAGCCTCACACACATATAATTGGAAAAGAAAGGAGGATTTTCTTAGTCTTCCGATAATCACGGATATTTTTCTTTGATAACCACACTCAAATTTGACAAGTGGTAGCTTCTCAAAGATTAGTTGCAATATAGAATTTGAATGAAATATATCAGTGAATTTTTCATCCTTGGTTACACTAAAATTCATTTGTCTTCCTTGTACCTTTTGTTGTTGTTGTTTTTTGTTTTCGTTTTTGAGATGGAGTCTCACTGTCACCCAATCTAGAGTGCAGTGGTGCGATCTCGGCTCACTGCAGCCTCTACCTCCTGGGTTCAATTGATTCTCCTGCCTCAGCTTCCCAAGTAGCTGGGACTACAGGCACCCGCCACTACACCCAGCTAATTTTTGTATTTTTAGTAGAGATGGCGTTTCACCATGTTGGCCAGCCTGGTCTCCGGCTCCTAACCTCAGGTGATACCCCCGCCTCGGCCTCCCAAAGTCTTGCACCTTGAATAGATCTTTTACTCAAGTATAATTTCTATCATCTTCATTGGTCATTTGGAAAATACTGGTTTACTAAGTATGTGAGTCTTCCAAATATTGATACACAGTGAAATATGGGATAAAAAATAAAAAATTCACATTTATTAACATCACCCCCAGTTACATGGGGAGCTAGCAAGCTCATCGATCGTGATGAGTGCTGGTTTTCGCAACAGTCTAAATTTAACTTGAAAGCTCGGTTTTTATTTTTGACAACAAATTCTGTCAGTTGTTTTCCTTAAAGTGGCAGGCTTATTTTGTTCATGTTCAAGACAATGTCTGCCAAGTATCCAAGCTGGAACAACCATAATTTGTCATTCATTCTTTTTAGTAAACTTGGTGTAGTAGCCCATTTGCATTACTATAAGGAATACCTGAGACTGGGTAATTTATAAAATTGTTTTAATTGGCTCAAGGCTCTGCAGGCTTTACAGGAAGCATGGTGCTGGCATTTGCTTCTGGTGAGGCCTCAGGAAGCTTACAAACATGGCAGAAGATGACAAAGAACTAGTGTGTCACATGGCTAGAGCCGGAGCAGCAAGAGAGGTGGGAGGTGCTACACTCTTTTTTTATTTTTTATTTTTTTGAGGTGGAGTTTTGCGCTTTTGCCCAGGCTGGAATGCCGTGGTGCGATCTTGGCTCACCACAACCTCCGCCTTCCAGTTTCAAGCAATTCTCCTGCCTCAGCCTCCCGAGTAGCTGGGATTACCGGTGCCCGCCACCATGCTCGGGTAATTTTTATATTTTTATTAGAGACAGGGTTTCACCATGTTGGCCAGGCTGGTCTCGAACTCCTGGTGCTACATTCTTTTAAACAACCAGATATCGTGAGAGTTCACTCACTATCAGAAGATTACACCAAGACATTCATGAGGGACTGCCCCCATGATCCAAACACCTCCAACCAGGCCCCACCTCTAACATTGGGGGTTACGTTTCAACATGAGATTTGGAGGGGCCAAACATTCAAACCATATCACATGATATTCCATGAAAAAAACAAGCAGTTCATTTTGCAACTTAAACTGTATAATACATGCTTTTTCCTGGGACTACCATGGTGCCTCAGTAGTCCACAGAAGTACTTCATGTGTACCTACTAGTTTGGGACACAAGGACGTTAAAAGCCATGTACTCGGGCCAATTTTTACTGCTCTATCAAGGATCTTCTTAAGTGAAGCTGGCATTTTCTTTTTTTTTTTAATCTGTGATTACTGGTGCAGTTGATACCTCTACCTTGATTAGTGTTAAAGAGCTCGCAGTTTGACCCACTGTTGATTTTGCACCATGGACACAAATGTGAACATAGAAGAAGGCAAATTATGTTTTAGTATTATGATGAAAGTAGGGTGTTTTGCTGGGACTTGGTTTGCTACAGGCCAGTAGTTCTCAAAGCCTGGTTCCCTGACCAGCGGCATTAGCATCTCTTGGGAGCTTGTTAGAAATGCCAACACCTGGGCCCTCCCCTTCCCTTCCAGTGTCCAGGTCCTTTGGGGTGGGGCTAGGCTGCTGCAGCTAGCTCCAGGGGACTGAGAGAGTCTGCTGAATTTCAGAAAGGCCACTCTGCCTTCTGGAAGGATGGTGGTTGTGGGGGATGAGTAAGTTAGGGACAGAGTGTTCTAGTGTTTGTAGAGGATGTGATGTGGCCTGGACTTCAGGCAGTAGGAAGAAAATGGAATGGATTTGCTAGAGATAGATTCTCTAGAACTTTATTGCTGGTAGACCACTTAAAAGCTTAGAAAACAATTGTGCTTTGCTCTGAGACCTGCCAGCCATCAGGGACAGATGAGTTTTAAACGCCCTTGCTGCTTTGTGTCTTGAAGCAGTTTAATCTTTTATTAATCGTGAAAAAATCAATCCAGATAACTTGCCTGAGTCATTTCAGTCTCCTTTTTGAGGATGCCTGCTGAAGCAGTGACCATGATCTCTGGTAGGGTAGAGCCTCACATTCAGAGTTTAGAGTCTTAGAAAGGACAGTTCAGTGTGGGAGAAAGGCAGCTATGATTTCATTCAGATATGCCCAGCTGCTGACAAATTGAATACAACGATCCGTGGCCGGCAGAGCTCTCATGTGTTGTGTGTTGTCTTGAGGCTGGTGAGGTGTATCCTTTCACTATTGGATTTTACCATTCAGTGCAGTCAGTAGCTCCATTTGATATAAGTGTAAAGATGGGTCTCTCATTTCAGTTTCAGCAATTATTCTCAAAACTTTTATTTTTCAGTGTTTTAAAGTTTTTTTATTTTATATCTTTTTTTTTTTTTTTTTTTTTAACAGATTTGTAAGACTCCAGGGCCTTCCAGCCGTGAATAATCTGATGGTTCCTGACATGACTGGGGAAACAGACGCTTCGTATGGCAGTTGAAGAGTGTGTGTCTATGTGCATTTAAAACCTTCTTTCTGTACTTACACATTCACACGGGAAGACAGGCTCATTCTTGTGCACACTTGAGAGTTTTACAACTGATGAAAATTAATTTAAGAATCAGATGGAGCAACTTGACACCACTGGGCTCAGGAGCCCGGGGAGAAAAATACATCACTAATGGCCAATTTTCCATATGGTCTGCATGGGTAAAGAAAGTCTGCAAAAAGAAGAAAAAAAAATTTGCACAGATTAAGCCACAAAAATACCTTCCAGTTTAAAGAAGGAACTAAGTGCGAAGGTGACTGAGAAAGAAGTGTGACTTCAAACATTGCAGCGGCTCACACAGTGCTTGTTGCACTTTATTTTTCAGTGGGTTTGGTGATTTTGATGGATTAAAATTCTGGACTGAAAAGTAACTCCTATTGTGGTTATGGCTAGAGGAAAGCAAGTTCAAGTATGATGGGACAAGTTTGAATAATGAACTTATTCCTTTGCCTATTTTAATTAACTGTATTTGAGAAATTTTAATTTATTATTTCCCCGTTTCTTTTCCTGCATCTATAGGATAATATTGTAAAATAGCAGTTGAAACCAATAATTATAAAACAAATATCAAGGAAAATCCAAGCAAAGCTTTCTTTTTTTTGGACGAGCGGTGTGGTGTTTGGAGACAGTCTGTGAATGTGAACAGGAAAGCACCCATCAGCAAAACACGATCACTCTCTAGGGAGACATTTGAGGGAATCTGACTCTGGCTTCTGCTTTTGTTTTAAGGGATTATCTTCCCTGTCAAGTCCAAGAAGATTTGCGTATGAGAAGATTACCTGATGGACTTAATTCTAAGATTAGCTTTTTTCATCAAGATGGAAAAAGATCTTTAGGAGCAGAAAAGGGGAGTGCTAACTGGGGGAGCGAGAAGGGAGACGAGCAAAAGAAATAAAATCTTGTAGCGTGGCTCTGTTTTGTCAGCAAGAGGATTTAAGACTCACCCAAGGCAAACACTGGGACCACTGTAAGAGCGCTGGAACATTCTGCCTCTTGAGTGAAGGGGCCTTCTTTCTAGCCTCTATGGCACTGAGGGGTGTGCCGGCTGGTGGAGGAGTAGTCCGATGGAGCCCTGCGTTCCCCGGGGACACAGGGCCAAGCTTTGAGGTGGAAAGTTTCTGGTTCTGAAACAACAGGGAGAGAGTCTGTTTTTCTTCCTAAAATTTGGACTCTTGTCTGCACAAACTCTGGTCTGTTTTGCACGGTTTGTGTGCCTTTTTTCCCCTTTATGCAATCTTTTTCAGCTTTAGCAGCAGAAATTTGTCTAGTTCAGAAAACATGCTAGAGGGTGGCTTCCGAAGGAAGATGATCCTGTGTGTTCTGTCTCTGCGTCCGAACTTCTGAAGAGAAAAATTTGAGCTAGAGGGATTCTTAAAGCCTTAAGTTACTTGAAATCTATGTATTTGCAACCCGTTGTCTCTGGAATCATTACACTAAACTGGAATCTCAGGCTGAATGAGAATAACCAAGTGGAGTAAAAAGAAGAAAACCGTTTCTTGATCACCACTTAATTAACGATGCTCTTTCTCCAAAGGATCAGCACGTTCTTCCTCTGAGAACTTGAAAATAAAAATGGACCCCATGTTTTTTTAAGCATTACCTTTTCTTAGAAGACTGCCATCATCTTTTATAGAGGAATTTTTTCACTATGCATTCGGTGGATCTTTATAAAATACTGACCTTCTAATTAGATTCAGGTCAGTCTTAATTAAAGGGGGAAAAACTCAACGCAAACCAACCACAAAAACAAATACACCAATGAAAGAAATTGGTTTAAATTTCACAGCATTAGCATTACTTTTTAAGTAAAACAGTTCATTGAAGAAAGTATGTATGCAGCGGTGGAACATGGGCCTGTGCTTTGCAGTGACTCCAACATCCTGTGCCTGTCCTGGAAGGGGCGTGTCCCCAAGAGTGAGAAGGAGAAGCCTGTGTGCAGGAGGCGCTACTACGAGGAGGGCTGGCTGGCCACGGGCAATGGGCGAGGAGTGGTTGGGGTGACTTTCACCTCTAGCCACTGTCGCAGGGACAGGAGTACTCCACAGAGGATAAATTTCAACCTCCGGGGCCACAATAGCGAGGTGAGCTGTGGTTTTGTTTCACTTTTTGGTCACTTCCAGTGGTGTTTTTGAGCCCCTTGTGGACTTGAAACTTCCTTCATTTCAGTTTCATAGACTTGCTGCTAAGTGAGACTTTCCATGCTGTGAGTTCTGTCTCTTATGCTTTGGCAGAAAAGATGCTAAGGTGGACACAGTTCACAGTAGGCTGCCTCTCCCCACGTGGGTCAGTTGTCCCTGGCACCCCTGCTGTCTTCCCCCTGCACTCTCTCAGAGGGTCCAGGCAGTGGGAAGACGCCCAGCAGTAGGGAGGCCAGGGCGCTTTCTGACCACGGTGTGGGGTTAAATTAGATGATCCTAACCAACTTCTCATGCTCCAAGTCTGCATGGCAAAGAGTTATCCCCACCCCTGATGTCACACTGACAGTGTGAAAAATGAAAGTGGTGCTGCCTTTACCTTGCACAGTTAACATCTACGTTTCTTTGGTGATGGCTTGACACTTGGCTTGTATTTTTTTGTACTTGGAGGTAAAGAAGTAGTTAATGGACAAGAACCATAGTTTTTCACATGTATAGGGTATATTATATTCAGGCTATTATGCCATATATTTGTACATATAGATTCCTCTGGGCTTCTAAAATATAAGCAGTGGGATTATCTATGAAATTCATGCAACCAACATTTATTGAGCAATACTTAAGTGTTAGGCATTGTGTTTTAAAGAAGAGCTTTGAGTGATAATTTCTTGCAAAGTTATGCTTGTATAGCACCTTCACAATATTCATGTTTTACTCTTCACTAGCTTATTTAGATATTTTTAAAATGAGGAATCCAAGACTATTTCAGGCATCTTAAAATGTCATTAAATGGTTATTAAATAGCTATTGTAAAGGAGCAGGAATATTTTTCAAGTATAGGTCTTAGTCCATTTGTGCTACTATAACAGAATATAGACAGGGTGGCTTATAAACAGTAGAAATTTATTTCTCACAGTTTGGGAGGCTGAAAGTCCCGAGATCAGGGGGCTAGTATGGTATGGTTTTTGATTTCTTCTTGGTGGAAAGAGGATGAGAGGCTCTCTGAGGCCTCTTTCATGAGGCCATTAATCCCATACATGAGGGCTCCATTCTCATGACTGAATCACCTCCTGTAAAGACCCTACCTCTTACTACCATCACCTAGGGGGATTCACCATACGAATTTTGGGGGCACACAGACATTCAGATCGTAGCAATATAAACATTCAGTAAAGTATACTAAACTTAACTTTCAATGATTATTTTTATATGCAGTCACCCATATAAGCGCCAAAAAGACCAAAATATACAGCATTTCCAGCACCAGTTACAGGTACTTGGTGCTCCTTTCCAGATTTTACATTCTGTCTTAATCCATTCCTGCCGCTAAATCAAAATATCTTAGACTTGGTAATGTATAAACAACAGAAATTTATCGCTCACAGTTCTGAAGACTGGGAAGTCCAAGATCGAGACGTCAGCAGGTTCAGTGTCTGGTGAGGGCTCTCTTCTCCATAAATGGCACCTTGTTCCTGTGTCCTCACATGGTGGAAGGGGCAAGGGAGCTTCCTTGGGCCTATTGTATAAGGATAGGAATCCCATTTATGAGGGGAGAGCCCTCAAGACCTGATCACCTCCCAAAGGCCCCACCTATTGATACCACCACATGGGGATTAGGTTTCAACATTGAGTTTTGTGGGGATGGAAACCTTCAGATCCTAGCACACCCATCCTGAGAAGTAACTCACATTCTTACTCTGTCACTGCTTAATGGAAGTGGAATCCTTCATTACATACTCTCTGTGTCTGGCTTCTTTCACTCAACATGATATCTGAGATTCATCCCTGTTGTGTATATTATTAGTTTGTACTTTTTAATTGATGTGAATTTTCCACTGAAGGAAGATACCTGGTGTTTTTCTTCTCCTGTTCCTGGGTATCTGGATTGCTTCCAGTTTTTGGCTGTTACGACTAATGCTGCTGTGAACGTTTATGTGCGTGTCTTTGTATGGACCTGTGCATTCAGAAGGTGGAATTTCTAAATCATAGTGTTGCATGTTTAGGTTTAGTAGAAATTGCCTGTTTTCCGAAGTGGTTGTACTATTTACACCTCATCATTAATGCATGAAAGTTTTAGTGGTAAGGCCAAGAGTAATTTGAGATTGATTTTTCCACCGAGTTTAATTTATTAAGAAGCTTCTTTTGAATTTGAACTTTTTCCATTAAAAAACAGTGCAAGAAATTATGTTTTTTTTTTTTTGAGACGGAGTCTCGCTCTGTCCCCCAGGCTGGGGCGCAGTGGCCGGATCTCGGCTCACTGCAAGCTCTGCCTCCCGGGTTCATGCCATTCTCCTGCCTTAGCCTCCCGAGTAGCTGGGACTACAGGCGCCCGCCACCTCGCCCGGCTAGTGTTTTGTATTTTTCAGTAGAGACGGGGTTTCACCATGTTAGCCAGGATGGTCTCGATCTCCTGACCTCGTGATCCACCCGTCTCCGCCTCCCAAAGTGCTGGGATTACAGGCTTGAGCCACTGCGCCCGGCCAAGAAATTATGTTTTACAAATAATATATTGGGCATATACATACAGGCATGCATGCATTATACCCCCCCCCACACACACACACATCTCTGCACCTTTGTAGTGGATACTCTTAAAAATATTTTTTCTTGTTCTTGTGTAACAAATTACCCCAGACTTGGTGACTTAAAACGTTACCCATTTCTAGTCTCACAGTTCTGTAGTTCTGAAGCCCTGTTATGGTATGTCTGGGGCCTGTGCTTAGGTCTCCCAGGCTGGGAAACGTGGTACCAGCCAGGACTGCTAGCTCCTCTGAGGCTCAGGGCCTTCCTCCAAGCTCATTCAGTTTGTTGGTAGAAATCAGTTCCTTGTAGGACTGAGGCCCTTGGGTCTTAGAGGCCCTAACTAGTCCTAGCCTTGTGACTCTCTCCACAGCATGCAGTTTGCTTCTTCAAGGCCAGAAGGAGAGCATCTGCTGTAACTTCAAATCTGTCTGACTTTCCATGTCTGAAAAATGGCATCTGTGAGCTGGCCATGCTCACCTCCACTCTGGGGAGGGGATTACACTGGGTGTGCATACCAGGGGGTGCGGTTTTAGAATTCTGCCTACCACAAAAGAGAGGATTCTAATTCACAGACAGTGGTCTGGCTGTCTCACTGTTGAAACTGTTTTGTGTGATTTTTTTCCACATTGCATTTTTACTTTTTTTGTTTTTTGTTGTTTTTTTAAAAATTATGCTTTAAGTTCTAGGGTACCTGTGCACAACATGCAGGTTTGTTACATAGGTATACATGTGCCGTGTTGATTTGCTGCACCCATTAACTCATCGTTTACATTAGGTATTTCTTCTAATGCTGTCCCTCCCGCTGCTCCCCACCCCACAACAGGCCCTTGTGTGTGATGTTCCCTGCCCTGTGTCCAAGTGTTCTCATTGTTCAGTTCCCACCTATGAGTGAGAATATGCGGTGTTTGGTTTTCTGTCCTTGTGATAGTTTGCTTAGAATGGTGGTTTCCAGCTTTATCCATGTCCCTGCAAAGGACATGAACTCATCCTTTTTTATGGCTGCATAGTATTCCATGGTGCATATGTGCCACATTTTCTTAATCCAGTCTATCATTGATGGGCATTTGGGTTGGTTCCAAGTCTTTGCTATTGTGAATAGTGCCACAGCAAACATACGTGTGCATGTGTCTTTATAGTAGCATGATTTTGGGTATATGCCCAGTATTGGGATCACCGGGTCAAATGGTATTTCTAGTTCTAGATCCTTGAGGAATTGCCACACTGTCTTCCACAATGGTTGAATTAGTTTACACTGCCACCAACAGTGTAAAAGCGTTCCTATTTCTCCACTTCCTTTCCAGCATCTGTTTCCTGACTTTTTAATGATCGCCATTCTAACTGGTGTGAGATGGTATCTCATTGTGGTTTTGATTTGCATTTCTCAGATGGCCAGTGATGATGAGCATTTTTTCATGTGTCTGTTGGCTGCATAAATGTCTTCTTTTGAGAAGTGTCTGTTCATATCCTTGGCCCACTTTTTGGTGGGGTTGTTTGTTTTTTTCTTTTAAATTTGTTGAAGTTCTTTGTAGATTCTGAATATTAGCCCTTTGTCAGATGGGTAGATTGCAAAAATTTTCTCCCATTTTGTAGGTTGCGTGTTCACTCTGATCCTTTTTTACTTTCAGTTAATTTCTGTTCCTCATACTAGAATCTGTTCCATTTAGCTGGGCATGGGGGCTCATGCTTGTAATCCCAGCACTTTGGGAAGCTGAGGCGGGAAGATTGCTTGAGCTTAGGAGTTCAAGACCAGCCTGGGTAATAACATAGTGAGACCCTGTCTCTGCTCTCCCTCACCTCCCGCAAAAAAAAGAATATGTGCCATTTACTGAATGCCTGCCAAGTAGAGTGACCAACTCTCCTGGTTTCCCAGGATGTGGGACTGTCGGTGTTAATAACTGCAAAATCCCAGGCAAACTGAGGTGGGCATCCTACTGCCCAGTGCCCGATGTAGTTTCAGGCATCTTACCTCATGTTGTTCACAGCAGACTCATGGGAAGATATCATTATTTCCCTTTTATAGAGAAGAAAACTCAGGCTTTAAAGATGTTAAATAACCTGCCTAAATTCATGCAGCTTGTATGGAGGAGAACTTGAATCTAGGGGTTTAACATTTTCCTAAAACTTTATTTTCTTATAACTTGTGTTAAATACGAGTCCTCTATCCCTTATCCTCAGTTGTTAAATCTTTTTTTTTTTTTAATTTTTTTGAGACAGAGCTTCTCTGTCTTCCCCAGGCTAGAGTGCAGTGGCACAATCACAGCTTACCGCAGCCTCTGCCTCCCGGGTTTGAGTGATCCTCCCACCTTAGCCTCCCAAGTAGGTGGGACTACAGACATATGCCACAATGTTCAGCTAGTTACAAATTTTTTTTTTTTTTTTTAGAGACAGGGTTTTGCCCTGTTGCCCAGGCTGGTCTCAAACTC